ATAAATGGAGGCTGTTGCGGGTTGTCCAGCCTCAGGGCTGGTCTCTGCCCGGAGGGGTTCGGTTGGCCCCACACTGACGGTGGCAGTGCATGTCCCCTCCCCGCAGCCTCGCGAGCGGCGTGCGATCCCTGGAAGGAGAGCGGTGATGTCTCGGACAGCGGCAGCAGCACCACCAGTGGGCACTGGAGCGGGGGCAGTGACATCTCCACCCCTTCGCCCCCCCACCCCGCGGGCAGCCCCAAGTACTCCAGCGAGGCCCTGAGCTCCCTCCAGGTGGACGATGGCTTCGAGACCGACTCTGACCCCTTTCTCCTTGACGAACCGGCTCCACGCAAGAGAAAGGTACCACTGCCGTGGCGTGGGGGTGTTCCTGGCGCCGGCGGGGTGGCTGGAGCTGAGCTGGTGTCCTGTGGAGGGGACGCTGCCAGCGGACAGGGGTGACACGGGCCATCTCTCCACCAGAACTCGGTGAAGGTGATGTACAAGTGCCTGTGGCCGAGCTGCGGCAAGGTCCTGCGTTCCATCGTCGGCATCAAGCGACACGTCAAGACCCAGCACCTCGGGTAAGGCGAAGGTTTCACCTCCTCAGCCCCTGCCTGACGCCAAAGCTGAGCGCCGTGCTGCTGCGTAGCCCCAATATCAGAGCTACTGGCCTGTGAGCACTGAGCTTGGCAGTTCTCAGCCAGCAGTCTGTGTCACCGAAGCCACTGTTTTGTGCGTCCCCACCTCCAGGGAGCTTCAGGGAGTCACGGGAGCCCCATTTGGGCTTCGGGGCGGCCCAGCTCGGGCGTGCATTTTGCAGTGGGGGGAGTTCAGTTTGCACGCGAGCCCTGGGCCCCTGGGCAGGGGCAGAAAAGCACCAGCCCAGCTGGGTTTCGCAAGGGCTGGCAGCCTGAAAGCAGCGCCTGCTGCGGTGGCAGCCAGCTCCAGCTTGGCCGTGGGGTCTGGCACGGGCACGCGCCTGCCGTCCCAGCGGCAACCACCCCTTTGGCAGTTTGCTTTGCTTTGGTGTTCTGATCTCCTGGGAATTCCCCCGAAAATACAAAGTGGTGAGGTTGGGGGGGGTCAGCTTTGCTGCCCTCTCCTCCTGTGGCCCCATTGCACTTCTCACCCACCCTCAGTTTTCTCGTGCTTTTGTCCATGTTTTCTGGTGTGTGTTTTTCTCCTCTTCCCTTGCAAAAGCGAATGCTCTGGGAAAGGCGAGGACAGAAAGGGCCGTGGTGCCGTGGGCAGCGCTGGACTGCCATCCAGTGCTGGATAAAAGCACTGGGAAAATAATAAAAAAGACTTCAGAGGCTGTTTCCTGCTGGGTGAACCGCAGGGCTTCAGTTGCAGCTGTGCTGAATGAACTTGATTAGACATGAGCAGAGGATTTTCAGTGGTGCCTGGTCAATGTGCCGGCGTTTTTAAAGGATCTGGAAGAGGTATCGATCTTCTCTGGAAGCGCAAAGTGCTGGTGCGGAGGCAGTGGCTGTTGCTGATCACAGCTAATGTGATGCTTTGGAGCCTGGGAGCAGAGCTGCTCTGCCCCGGAGGGCGAGATCACTTTTCCCCGAGGAAGTCGGGGGGCTGCTGACCTTGATGGAAACAGGACCGCCTTTCACTGTGGTCACCCTTTCCTCCCCGGCAGGGACGGTACAGACTCTGACCAGCGGAAGCGGGAGGAGGATTTCTACTACACCGAAGTGCAGGTGAAGGAAGAGCCGGTGCCGGAGGCGTCCCGCCCCCAGCCCCACGTCCGTGTCCGCCCCCATCATCATCCAGCAAGCCCTGGCAAAGCCGGAGGCGCTGCTGGTGGAGCAGCCGGTGCTGGAGCCCGCCCTGGCTAGCAGTGCCCTGAGCCAGTCTGCCCCCAGCTCCTTCTGGCACATCCAGGCTGATCATGCCTACCAGGTGAGCTGGTGGCACCTCCCGGGGCTGAGTCGCCTCCCGAAGGGCAGGTTGTGGTCTGCTTTGCTCCGCAAGGTCCCGCTGCGGCAAGGACGTTTCATTGCCACCCTCACAGCACGGAGAGGCTTTGGTGCCGGTGGGGCAACGTCCCCTCCCTGGCTGCCCTTCAGCCCCTGAGCAACCGGCTTCGTTAATGCCTGGCTGAGGGGCTCGTGTGCTTCTGCTGTGGCCGTTCACAGGCTGGCGTGGAGCTGCCGGCCTCTGCTACCCGTGGGTCACCCAGCCCAACCCCCTGCCCAAGCAGGGTCACCCAAGAGCAGGCTGCACAGCACCGCGTCCAGGCGGGTCTTGAATATCTCCAGAGAAGGAGGCTCCGCAGCCTCCCTGGGCAGCCTGGGCCAGGGCTCCGTCACCCTCAAAGGGAAGAAGTTCTTCCTCATCTTCAGCTGGAACTTCCCAGGCTTCAGTTTGTGCCCGTTGCCCCTTGTCCTGTCGCTGGGCACCACTGGAAAGAGTCTGGCCCCGTCCTCCTGACCCCCACCCTGCAGATATTTGTAGGCATTTCGGAGGTCCCCTCTCAGCCTTCTCTTCTCCAGGCTGAACAAGCCCAGCTCCCTCAGCCTCTCCTCGTAGGAGAGATGCTCCAGTCCCCTCACCATCCTCGTAGCCCTCTGCTGGACTCTCTCCAGTAGCTCCTTATCTTTCTTGAACTGGGGAGCCCAGCACTGGACACAGTACTGCAGATGGGGCCTCCCCAGGGCAGAGTAGAGGGGAAGGAGAACCTCCCTTGACCTGCTGGCCACACTCCTCCTAATGCACTCCAGGATCTCATTGGCCTTCTGGCAGCCAGGGCACACTGCTGGCTCATGGTCACCTTGTCATCCACCAGGACACCCAGGTCCCTCTCCGCAGAGCTGCTCTCCAGCAGGTCAGCCCCAAGCCTGTACTGATGCCTGGGGTTGTTCCTCCCCAGGTGCAGGACCCTCCACTTTCCGTTGTTGAACCTCATCAGGTTCCTCTCTGCCCAACTTTCCAGCCTGTCCAGGTCAAACCTGGTTAAACCTGTGCAGGTCAAACGTGGGGACCCGGAGCGGTGGCCCCGGGTGGCACCCTGGGCCAGTGGCCCTTGTCCCAGGGGCTGCCTGAGAGCCGAGCGCTGCTCTGGAGCTGCAAGCTAGTGCAGGGGCAGGGTGTATAGATCCATAAGCTGCGTTGTGTATCCATTCCAACCCCAGGGAACGGACACAACATCATCTAAAAGCAGAGAGCCTGTGTAAATACGTGCAAAATACTAACGTATGAACCAGGATGGTGCACGTGGTCTGGTGTTGCGTCCAAAAGCAGTTGCGGGAGTGAAGAAGCTGCTGTGCCCCGGCTGTAGGGTGACACGGCGCGTGTGCCATGCCCTGCGTTAGCAGGATCTGATGCTGGAGGCGGGGTTGCGCGGGGCCCCCCCCCCCCAGTGCTACCAGTTTGTGGGTACTCCAGGCTGGTCTTTGTAGGGGGGTGAATGCTTGTGGGGCGGCACGTGGAAACAGGGGGACCCCGGGGCTAATCCAGACCCCTCTTTTCTGCCACAGGCATTGCCCTCGATCCAAATTCCAGTGTCCCCCCACATCTTCACCAGCATCAGCTGGGCCACTGCCACCTCGACTCTCCCGTCCCTGTCACCGGTGAGTCCAGCATGCGTTTCCCCTTCATCCTTTTGGGGTGTGGGGTTGGGCTGGGAGCTGAGGGGACTTTGTCTCCACTTGCTCACTCCCTGATTTAAACATCTGAGTTTGTGGGCTGGGGGCAGCTGTGTCTCCCCCTGCCCCATCGCAGTGCTCGGGGTGGGGACACCGTGCCGTCCCCCATCCCCTTTGACACCCGATTCCCCGCAGGTGAGGAGCCGGTCGCTCAGCTTCATCGAACCCCAGCCACCGACACCAATGCTCAAGTCCCACCTGATCGTCGCCTCACCGCCCAGGGTGTCCATCGGCACCAGGTGAGGGTCCCACCGGCCACGGGGGAGCAGAGCAGGAGCCTGTCGGCAAACAGCGTGCCCTCCTGCATCTCCGCAGAGATGCAGCACGGCGCTGCTCAGCCGTGGTTACGGAGCCTTTCCCTTAGGTACGTGACCGAAGTTCTGCGACGAGCGGATAAATATTTGTTCTTTTCTCCCTTTTGCAGGAAAGTCCGCGGTGAAGCCAAGAAGTGCCGTAAGGTGTACGGCATCGAGCACCGGGACCAGTGGTGCACGGCCTGCCGGTGGAAAAAAGCCTGCCAGCGCTTCCTGGACTGAGCGCAGCACCGCGGTGCCGCGTCCCTCCCCTGCTCCTGCCCGCGGAGCACCGGAGTCCCTCACTGCTGCAACCAGGGACCTTGGAGGTAGCTCCTGTCACCCCAGAAGACACCTCCAGAGCTGCGTGTAAATTCCTCCTGTATATTGTACATCTGCTGGGTTTGCTCTTTTTTAAAAAAACCTGAACTTTTTTTTTTCACTTTTTTTTTTTTTTTTTTTTTAAACTGAAGAATTATCTCCCTTTGTACGGTAAAAGCTGGGACTGGGAGGGAAGGAAGCTGGTTCCTCGGGGTTCGGGGGAGACTGTAGGCGATCTGGGGACCAAAGAGCTTCCCGCATTCCCCAGATCAGCCCTAAAATCTCCCAAACTCTCGCAGCATGGCTGGGGTGAGGCACTGAGGCAGCTTCCCGTGTCTTTTGACTACCTAGAAAGTGCAAATCCCTTGTATCCTTTAAGGGAGGGGATCGGTACAACTATAGCTTTAAAAAAGAAACGCTGTCGGGTTGCTGCAAGCAAGGCAGGGGCA